AGGAAGAAGTGTCTCAACAGATGCAGAAAGAGCTTAAAAGAGCCAGAGAAGGAACTAGAAACTTCCAGAGAATTCTAGAAAGAGCTAAAAGAGCTAGAGAAAGAAATAAAAAGATCCAGAGAGTTCTAGACAGATCTACAGAGCTGAAAAGAGCCAAAGGAAGACCTAGAAACTTCCAGAGAGTTCTAGAAAGACCTAGAGAGATCCAGAAGGAGCTAAAAACAGCTAGAAAGACCCATAGAGTTCTACAAAGTTCCAGAGAGGTCTACAAAGAACTAGAAATGTCTAGAAAGATCCAGAAAGAGCTAAAAAGAGAGAACCAGAACCCCAGATGCTTCCGAAGAATAGCGAAAAGGGGCAGAGGAGGAGAGGGGAAAGGGGAAAAGGGGGGAAAAGGGGGAGGTAGGGGGGGGGAGACTCACCTTGCCGAGCCTCTGGGAGTCCAATGGCGCAAGCTAATAGTTTCGTGAAGAAGAAGAGAGACCTCATTGAGGTGTTGCGCCCATCGAAAGCCAGCGCGACTGAGAAAGACCATGGAATAACGTGGCAGAGAAACAAGCAACAAGTTCTCACTATACCACTTGGCCTTTTCATCTATTATTCTCTTATTCTTTTATTCTTTTTTTGGAGTTTGAAATCGCAAAGAATGGATTTCTTATTCTTCTATTTTATGTTATTATTTTTTTCGTTAGCGTCACTTACACTCTCTCTCTCTCTTTCTCTCTCACTCTCTTTCTTCATAAGATTAATAAACTTTCTTCGTTACTCTATGATCATCTGATAAGAAGATTTATCCTTATAAAGCAAGAAATATTCTTTTTTTATTTATCTCTATTCTTAGCGAAATTTTCTCCGGACTTTCTCCCCGGAGTAGAGTCCTGTAGAGTCCTGGACACATGCAGGGACTCCAGTGCGTGTAAAGTCTTATTCAAAGGAGAGTCCAGACGCACAGACAGATAACAAATAGACAGATGCAATTATTCTCTCTTTTTTTTCTCTCGTTTCTCCTTCTACTTTACATCCACGAACGGAACTTGACCAAAAAAAAAAAAAAAAAAAAAAAAAAAAAAAAAAAAAAAAAAAAAAACGAAATAAAATTTTTTGAACGTAAATAATCAAAATAAAAGTTTGAAAAGAAATGAACAGAATTAGCTGTCATGCCGAAGCAGATGTGCAAGAGAATGGAAATGAGAACCAGCAAGTGATCCAACAGTGATTCGCTATATGCTCTGTTGTGAAGTACGTTTGATAAAGTACATGTGGTGTTAGAGATAATTATAGGAATAGAGATAATACAGGAACTATCTACTAATTGTTATCATTATCATTACTATTATTATATTCATTACCATCGTTCTTCTTATAATTCATTACCATTAATACTATTATCTTTTTATCATTATCATTAATACTATTATTAATATCATCATCATTATTATTATTTTACCATTATCATTATCATTGTTACTAGCATTATTATAACCATTATAATTATTATCATTATCACCAAGATTTCAGCTATTATCATCACTATTATCATCGTAATCATAATCATCATCAGATAACCAAAAAAACACATGAAATTTATATCAATAACATTAATCAAACTCCTATGAAACCCAATATGTTTTGAGAATTTTGCATCTGACCTTCCCTGGGTCATCTCCAACGTGACCTGACCTTCCTGTGACCTATGAACTTTAACCTGATGACGTCATCGCCTTGAATATAGACACGGGACGCCCCCCCCCCTTATGCTTCTTAAATCTCACGTGAAAAATAATATTTATCCTCTAATTTTACGTGTAAATACTTATATTAAGGCGATAACCGATTCAAAACTAAGCGGTCAGTGTGTTCATATGTTCAAAAGTTATGTTTGTGTGATATCACGCCCGAAAAAAATGTTCACCATGTTCATATTGTTCAAAAGTTATGCTTGTGTGACTGACAGGTGATATTTGACATCATGTTCAAAAGTTCACCATGTTCAAAAATGATGTCTTAAATGACCTCTCGTTCAAAAATAATGTTCACTGTATTAAAAAAGTGGTTTTTATGTATTAAAAAAGTGTGATTCTTTATGTGAATGTTCATAAGGTTCATCACATAAGGTCACGTTCAAAATGTTAACAGTAACGTTGAACATTTGACCTTATTTTCAAAGGAAACGTTCATTACGTTCAAAAGTAACGTTCATGTGAACTTAAATTCGTAAATAACGTTCAATTGATCCCTTGTTCAAAAATAACGTTCATCAATGGATCTTACGTTCAAAAATAACGTCCATGTGATCTTAAATTCGTAAATAACGTTCATCTGATTTCCTGTTCAAAAGCAACGTTCATCGAGTGATTTTACGTTCAAAATTGACGTTCATAAGCTTCGTTATATACCCAGCCATGTCACAAAACGAATGGCTTTTTTACGAAAATATTTTTAAAAAATTGATTATGATGGTGATGACGATGGTAATGATAATGATAACCATAACCATGATAATAATGACAATGATAACGATAATGATAATGACAATGATAACACCAGTGATGATTACAGTAATAATAATAATAATAATAATAATAATAATAATAACAATAATAATAATAATAAACAATAATAATAATAATAATAATAACAATAAAAATAGCACAAGTAATAACAGTCGTGCTAGCAATAAGGAAATCAATAAGAAAACAAAACAAAAGACAATCTACAAAACAGGATTTCGACAAAGGAATCAAAACCTGTGTATCTATTACCTACAAGGAATCCAATCCTATATATCTATTACCTATAAGGAATCAAAGCCTATATATCTATATTTTTTTACCATATTGATTACCCTCTGACGCGCGAGAGAAAATACAAAATACGTTTAAACAAAACAAAAAATAAACAAACATACGAAATACAATTTACTTTGCTAATTTATTTCTTTTTCGTTACTTATTTTTTTTACGAAAGGCGAAAGAGGAAAAAACAGAGGAGGTAGAGGAGGAGGAATGAAAGAGGGAAAGAGAAAAAGAAAGAAGAAGAGGAAGAAGAAGAAGAAGAGAATGAGAGGAAGATGGAAGCAGAATAACAACAATTAAAAATAGAAAACGGAAAAATAGGAAGAAAAAGAGACGACGAAGACAAAAATAAAGAAAAAAATACAAGAGCGAAGATAGGAAGAGGAAAAGATGGAAGAAGAAAAGGAGAATGAGAAGGAAAGAAGTAGAGAAAAGAGAAATGAGAAGCATAAGAGGAATAACAAGAAAAAATACAATGAAATATGAATTAAGTGGAACAAGAATATTTGCAAAAGACGAAGAAGATAAAAAAACAAGAAAAAAGAAAGAGAAGGATAACAATAACAAAAACAAAGACACGAACAAAGAAAGAGAAGAAAAAAGAACAACTAAAAAAATACATAAAAACATTAATAGACAAAGAAAGAAAGATCAAACAAACAAAGAAACAAAAACAAAGACACGAACAAAGAAAAAGAAAAAACAAAAAACAACACAAATAAAAGCATAAATAGATAGATAAAGAAAAGACAAACTATAAACAGACAAAGAAAGAAAGAAACAAACAAACAAACAAACTCAAGAAAAAAAAAAACAAAACGAAATACCTCAAGAAAGACACACTAACTCCTTGACACTTTCCTCCTACAAACAAACAAACAAACAAAACGAAGACGAAGACGAAGTCAGAGAGAAGAGCAGCGAATCGGACAAGTTGTGCAAGGAGGGCCATGCAACAGACGGTGCAATCTGCAAAGCGAGGTGCTGCAACGTTGCCAACTTGGGATGAGGTGGTTTTGTCATCCTGTATTTGGTGGACTTTTAATTGATTTTAATTTTTTTGTTTATTATTTTTCTGCTTAATTTATGTTTTTTTTTCTGTATTTTAATTCGTTTTTGTGTTTTTTTTTTTTGTTTTTTTCTATATTTTTTTAGTGTTTATGTTTTTTTTCCATATATATATATTTTTTTTACTTTTTCTGTTTTCATTTTCTATTATTTTTGAAGGAAATGAGAAAGGAAGATGAGAAGAAATGAGTAAATTGGGAGAATATGAGAATAATTTAATAAATAAGTAAATGACATATGATAAAGAGAATTTTGATTTTTTTTAAAGAATGAAAACTGAAGAATAACTGAAAGAATATATACAAAATAATTCAAAGAATGGAAATAAACGAGTCACAGAGAGAATGTGATAATAACATGGATGAGGGAATGGGAAAATCGGAATAATTCTGAGATTGAAAATAACAATAAATGAAAGAATGATAAAATGAGAATCGAATGATTAAGAAATCAAAAAATCAAAATCAAAACAGTAAGCGAGAGAATATTTGAGATAAATTATCATTATTATCATTATCATTATTATTATATTTTTTCGTTTCTCTCTCTCTCTCTGTTTTTTTTTTTTTTTTTTTTTTTTTTTTTTTTTTTTTTTTTTTTTTTTAGGTTTTATAGCAACCCAATCGTACTTTTTAATTTTTCGTTCTTAATGTTTATTTTATTATTGTCTCGAGAGTCCATCCGCTATACAGAAATATCCAAACCGCTTTTTTTATGTAATTCAGAGAACCAAAATGATTAAAATAATCGAATTTGATTTTTTTAAAGTGAGAAAAACCTGCGTATGGAATATTTTGTTTATATGAACATACCCAATTGTGAAAATAAAAGAGATTAAATCATATTAGATAAAAAAAATATATAACTACACACACAGCAGCAAATGATAACAACAACAACAACAACAACGAAACGACGACGAACTTAAAACAAAACAAAAAACAAAAATAAAAAAAAAATGAAAGAAATAACAAAAACAAATAATAATTACACCCTTACCCTCCACCCCCCCTCCCCAAACAAACAAAAAAACAAACAAAAAACTAAAAAAACTAAAAGAAAAATTCAAAAAAAATGGCGGGAAAAAATTCAAAATTCAACCAACTGTCAAATCCCGTTTTTCTTTGTCATACTCACATGAGTTCGTGGAGTCTTGTGCTCTTCTCGGCTTCCTCCACCTTGAGTTTGTTGTGTTCGCCGCGCAGCTGGTCGAGTTCGAGGGTCAGCTTCTGGTTTTGACTGTTGGAGGAGGAAGGTGGAGGAGGAAGGTGGATGGGAGGAGGAGGTGGAGGAGGGAGGTGGAGGGAGATGGAGGAGGAGGGGGAGGAGGGGTGGGTGGAGGAGGAGGTGGAGAGGGGGAGGTGGAGGAGGAGGTGGAGGGTGGGAGGTGAAGAGGAGGAGGAGGTGGAGAGGGGTGGTGGGGATGGGGGAGGTGGAGGGGGAGATGGGGGAGGGAGGTGGGAGGTGGATAGGGAGGGAGATGGTGGAGAGGGGAGGTGGAGGTGGAAGGTGGAGGGGGAGGGGGGATGGAGGAGGAAGGTGGAGGAGGAGGTGGGTGGGAGGTGGAGAAGGGTGGGTTGGTGGAGGTGGAGAGGGGGAGATGGTGGAGAGGGGTGGAGAGGTGGAGGGGTGGGTGGGAGGTGGATGGAAGGTGGAGGAGGAGGAGAGGAGGGGTAGAAAGGGAAATGGGGAATGGAGGGGAGGAGGGGTGGGAGGTGTAAAGAGGGGGGGGGAGATGGTGAGGAGGAGGAGGAGGAGGAGGAAGGAGGTAAGAGGTAGAGAGAGGGTGAATGAAGAGAAGGGAGAATGAGGAGGTGGGGAGAGAGAGAAGAGAGAGAGAGAACCATGATTAGTAAAATACAGATTTAAAAAAATTACTAATCCTAATAATAATTCCGGAATAATAATGATTGTACGACTATTACAATGACATCAATATCAATATAATAACAACTGTAATGATGATCAAAATAATAATCACAACAATAGCAATACTAAAGATAATTAATGACAATATTTATAATAATATCAATATTAATACCAATATTTGATCAGAGGTTGCACAACATTCTTTAAAATTCGTTTCATTATCATATTCAATAATTGACGTTTATCCAAAATAAAATATATATAATATAGAATTAATATATTAAAGCATATTATTATAGTATATCCAAAATAAAATATATCATATAAAGTTAATATATCAAAGTATATGATTTTGGACAAGAAATATTCAAAGCAGAATACGAACAAGTAGAAATGTTAGGACATAAAATAGCTAGAGAAAAAGAGATAGAGAAAGAGACAGAGAATAAATAAGAAAGCGTAAATTACAAACTGACAGAGATACGCAAAAAAAAAAAAAAAAAAAACGAATAAATGGTAGAAACTGATTAAAAATGAAATGAAGAGAGGGCAATTAAGAGAGTGAGAGAGAGAGGAGGAGAGGAGAGGAGAGAGAGAGAGAGAGAGAGAGAGAGAGAGAGAGAGAGAGAGAGAGAGAGAGAGAGAGAGAGAGAGAGAAAGAGAGAGAAGAAGTAGTAGTAGTAGTAGAAGATGAAGAAGAAGAAGAAGTAGAAGAAGTAGACGTAGAATAAGCAGAAGCAAGAGAAGAAGGGGCAGAAGAAGAAAAAGAAGAAGGGGTAGAGAATGAAAAGAAGAAACAGAAAAAAATCTGCAGAAGAAGAAAGAAAGGAAATGACAAAAGAAGAAGAAAAAACATGAATATGATAAGACGGAAAACCAGGAATAAATAATCAGGAAAAAAGTAAACCAAACCAAAAAGAAGAAGAAGAGGGAAAATGACAATAAATAATAATAACAATAAAAAACGCCACCAAACCAAAAAGAAGAAGAAGAACAGGGAGAATGACAATAACAACACAACAACAAATAAAAACGCCAAGCCAAACTCGACCCCCCCAACACCCCCCACCCCCAACACCCCCCCACCCTCAAACCGCGACGCCCGCTGCCCCGACGAACCTACTCCTTCAGGTCCTCGATGAGCGCCTGCTTCTGGTTGATCTCCTGCCGCAGCTGCACGACCTGCTTCTGGTGGAGGTCGCGGTGGGTCTCCATCTGCTTCTCAAGGGCCTCCTTCGACTCGCCCTCGGACACGGACAGTCCCTCGGCCGCTTTGAGCCTCGTCACGTCCTCCGTCAGGGTGTCGACCTGTAGGAGGAAGGAGAGGATGAAGGGGGGGGTGGAGGAGGATTGGAGGATTTTTGTTTTGTTTTGTTTTGGAGGGGGGGGGTGCTGATGGGGATCTGGAGTGTGTTTAAAGGTGTCTATTTATCTATCTTTTATCAATCTCTCTATCTTTCTCTTCCTCTCTTCTCTTTCTTCCTCTCTTAAAGTCTTGAAGTTTTTTTTTTGAGGGGGGGTGTGGGGTATTGTGGGTGTCGTGCTGAGGGATCTGAGTGTGTTAAAGTGTCTATCTATCTTTTTATCTCTCTCTCTCTCTCTCCTTCTCTCTCTCTCTCTCTCTCTCTCTCCCTCTCTTTCTCTCCCCCTCCTCTCCCTCTCTCTATCTATCTATTTATTAATCTATCCATCTATTCACACTATTACTGACTCATCCATTTCTATATGTATTTATTTACTAACTAAATGGCATGCAAGCTTAATCTATCCTTATTACATACGATCATATGAGTGCAAGAGACAGACAATCTATTTATTATTTCTTTCTTAAATTTCTAACGAGTAATTAGGAATAGACTTTCCCAAAAAAAAAAAAAAAAAAAAAAAAAAAAAACATAAAAGCTTAATAAATATGTTGATGAGATTAATAAATTTCCGAGTAATTAGGATTATAGTTTCCAAGAATACTAAAAAAAAGGCAGAATGAAAAAAAAAAAACTAAACCGATTCATGGGATTTATAATAAAAGTCTAAAAATTATGTTGATGAGATTAACGAATTTCCGAGAAAAATTAATGTTATTTGCATTAGTGTTTATAAACATTTATTCGCATATGAAGAAAAAAAAATTATATATACAAAAAGAGAAATGTTCGGATTACTTCTCTTCATGAAAATAATTATTTCCCTCATTCCTTCCCTCATTTTTTTCATTCTTTTTTACCTTCCCTCATTTTCCTTCGTTTTTATCCTCCCTCATTCTTCTTTATACTCCATCTCCCTCGGTTTCCTCTTCCTCCACTTTCCCTCATCCTCCCTCATTCTCCCTCCCTCATATTTTACCTCATTCTCCCTGCCTTATTTTCTCTCATTCTCCCTTATTTTTTTCTCATTCTCCCTCCCTCATTTTCTTCCTTTCCTGATTTCCCTCCTTCTCCCTCCCTTCATTCTCCCTCCATAATTTGCTATTCCTCCTGCTTAAATCTTTCCGGACCTCCACTCCCATCCTTTCTCATTCTCCCTCACACTCTCCCTCATTTTTCTCTTCACTCACTTTTCCTTCATTCTCATCTTCCTCTCCCCTCCCTCATCTCATTTTCCTGACTCTCTCGTCCTCCCTTTTCCCTCCTCCCTCATTCTACCTCATCTTACCAACTCTCACTCCTTTATCCTCGTCCTCCTAAATCTTTCTCACCCTCATAACCCTCCTCACTTCTCTCTCCATCATCTTTATCTTCCTTATACTTACTTTCTCCCTCACTCTAACATTCCCTACCTCATCCTAACTATCCCTCCCCCCCCTCTCTCACATCCCACCCTCCCTGCCTCATCTTCTTCCCTCACACCCCATCCCTCTCTCTACCTCATCCCTCTCTTTTACTACCCACACCCGGCCTTTCCTCTCATATCCTCCCCCTCCCCTCCTCCCTTCTACCCCTCCTCCACCCAAACCTCCCTCCCTCATTCCCTCACCCCTCACACCCACCTGTTCCTCCTCCTTCCTCCCCCCTCACACCCACCTGTTCCTCCCCCTCCTCCCATCCCCCCCCCTCCCCACCCCTCACACCATTGTCCCAAACCATCCCCCCACCCTCCCCCTCCCCTCCTCCCCCTCCTCCCCCCCCTCACCCACCCTCCCCCACCTCCAACCCCACCACCCCCTCACCCCATCCCTCCCACCTCCCTCAACCGACCGCTCCCCCCTCCCCCCAACCCAACCATCCCCCCCACCCCATTCCCCCCCCCACCTCCCACCACCCCTCCCACCCCTCCCTCCCCCTACCCCACCACCCCCCACCCCATCCCACCCCTCAACCCCATCTCCCACCCAACCCACCCCACCTATCCTCCCTCCCATCCTCCCTCTCACACCACCTGTTCCTCCAGCTGCCTCTTCCGGACCTCCACCACCCACCTCTCCCTTACACAATCCCCTCCCCCCTCCCCTCTTCCCCATCCCTCCCCCCTCACCCCTCCTCACCCCCTTCCCTCCCCCTCCCTTCACCGTCCCACCCTCCCATCCTCCTCTTCACCCAACCCTCTCACACCCACCTGTTCCTCCAGCTGCCTCTTCCGGACCTCCACCTCATGCATGGACTCCTGCAGCGTCTTCATTCTGGCCTCATGCTGGCTGATGAGGAGACGGCACTCACTCAGCTCCTTCTCGTAGTCGTCAATCTTCTTGTTGCAGTCGCCCTGTTGGGGGGGGGGGGGAAGCAACGATAATGACAAAGATATGGATGATAACGAGAGCAAATATTAACAAATTAAAGCTTGGAAAAAATAAATAACAAATAAATAATAACAAGTAAATAGATGATAACAAGAGCAAAAATGTTACAAATCAAGGGTTGGAAAAAAAAATAACAAATAAATAATAAACAAATAAATAGATAACAATAGCAATATTAAGAAATTAAAGCTTGAAAAAAATAAATAACAACAATAACAAATTAACTAAGAATAACAATAGCAAATATTAACAAATTAAAGTTTGATTAAAAAAATAAACAAATAAATAATAATAAATAATAAATGATAACGAGAGCAAATATTGAAAAATTAAAGCTTGAAAAATATAATAACAAATAAATTAATAAATAAATAACAATAAATGAATGATAACGATAGCAAATATTAACAAATTAAGCTTGAAAAAAATAATATAATAATAACAAAGAAATGAATGATAACAATAGCAAATATTAACAAATTAATGCTTGAAGAAATAATAACAAATAAACAAATAAATAATAACAATTAAATGAATGATAACAACGACATTAAATATCAACCAAATAAAGCTTGAAAAAAATAAATAACAACAATAACAAATAAACTAATAATAATAATAGCAAATATTAACAAATTAAAGCTTGAAAAAAAAATAATAACAAATAAATAATAAATAATAACAAATATTATAAATGATAACAACGACATTAATATCAACCAAATAAAGCTTGAAAAAATAAATAGCAACAATAACAAATTTATAAACAATAACCAGTAGCAAATATCAACAAAATTAAAGCCTGGAAAAAACAAGAACACTAAACAAACTAACAAATAAACAATACCAGTACCAAATACCAACAACTAAATCTAAAAAAAAATAATAATAAATAAAATAAACAAATCAAACAATAAACAGCAGCAACAAATAAACAAATAAACAATAACAGCATCAAATACCAACAAACTAAACCTAAAAAAAAATAAAAAACAAACAACAACAAATAACCAAATCAACAATACAGCATCAAACACCAACAAATCAAATCTAAAAAAAATAATAATAATAATAATAATAACACTAAACAAATCAACAATAACAGCAGCAAAAACCAAATAACTAAATCTAAAAAAATAATAATAATAATAATACACAACAATCAAACAATAAACAAACAAACACCAACAAATCAAATCTTTCACAAAAAAAAAAAAAAAAAAAAAAAATTTACCTGGAAATTCTCCAAGGTGCTGCACCGCTGAACCAGATTCCGCACCTCGCTCTTCATCTTGGACACGTACAGCCGCGCCATCGTGAATTCCTCCTCCAGTTTATTGGGGTCGCCGGAATTCTGAAAGTTGGCGTTTGGGGTTAGTGTGTATTGAGTGTAAAGTGTGTCTGTTATCTACGTGGATTTTGAGAGTTGGTGTTATTAAGTTGTAAAGTGTCTGTTATCTATGTGGATTTAGAAATTTGATGTTTGGGTGTTAGTAATGAGTGTAAGTAGCTTATCTATGTGATTCTGAAAGTTGGCTGTTTGGGTGTTAGTATATTTAAGTGTAAAAGTGTCTTATTATTCTATGTGAATTTGAGAGTTGGCGTTTACATATTTAATTAAGTGTAAAGTGTCTATGTATCTCGTGGATTCTGGGAGAGTTGGTGTTGTGTTAGTTTATTAAGTGTAAGTGTCTTATTTTGTGAATTCTGAGGTTGGCGTTTACATATCAGTAAATTAAAAAGTAAAGTATCTTCTCTACGTGGATTCTGAAAGTTTGGTGTTTGGATGTTAGTATATTGAGTGTAAAAGTGTTTATTATCTATGTGGATTCTGAGAGTTGGCGTTTACATATCATTAAGTGTAAAGTATCTATTCTCTACGTGAATTCTGAAAGTTGGCGTTGGGGTGTTAGTATATTAAGTGTAAAGTGTCTGTTATCTATGTGGATTTTGAAAGTTGGTGTTTGGGTGTCAGTTTATTAAGTGTAAAGTGTTTATTGGGGTCGCCGGAATTCTGAAAGTTGGCGTTGGGGAGTTAGTATATTAGGTGTAAAGTGTCTGTTATCTATGTGGATTAATATAATATCATTAATTAAGTTGTAAAGTTCTGTTATCTACGTGGATTATATAATATCATTAATTAAGTGTAAAAGTATCTATTCTCTACGTGGATTATTAATATCATTAATTAAGTGTAAAGTGTTCTATTATCTACGTGGATTACATTAATTAAGTGTAAAGTATCTATCTCTAGTGTTCTGAAATGTTAGGGATGTTAGTAATTAAGTGTAAGTGTCTCTTATCTACGTGGATTTGAGAGTTGGCGTTTGGTGTTAGTAAATTAAGTGTAAAGTGTCTTATCTGCGTGAATTCTGAAAGTTGGTGTTTGGAAATCAATAAATTAAATGTAAAGTATCTGTTATGTACGTGAATTTTGAAATTTGGCGTTTGGAAATAAGTATATTAAGTGTTAAGCATTTATTATCTACGTGAATTCTGATATCTGGCATTTGGATATCAGTTTATTAAGTGTAAAATATCTGTTATCTTCGTGAATTCTAAAATTTGGCGGAAATCAGTATATTAAATGTAAAGTATCCTTTATTGCACGAATTCTAAAATTTGGCGTTTGGATGTCAGTATATTAAGTGTAAAGTGTCTTATCTATGTGAATTCTGAAAGTTGGCGTTTACATATCAGTAAATTAAAAGTGAAGTATCTATCATCTAGTAAAGTATCTCTTAATATCAATATATTAAAGGTAAAGTATCTACATATATATTATTGAATTATACATATTGGTATTTATACATATTATTGAATTATATATATTACTGAGTTCTATATACTGTTATTTATATATATTTTTGAATTATATTATATATATATATATATTGGTATAAATTGTGGATATTTAATGGGATACATGAATAAAACATTATGGAAGTTTAAACATTAGTTTGTATCTTGGAAATTAATGGATGCAGATGGATAAAATATTGTGGAATTTCAAATATTGGTAAATATATTGGAAATTTAAGGAAGTATGGATAAAATATTGTGGAACATAGTGAATTTTGTACATTTATACAGAGATCTATTTCCTGAAAATTTATGGATAAATATGTAAAAATTCTCTGAAAATTTATCATGAATATAATAAGATTCAGCGACTGCATCAACCACTTCATCCACATCAATCCACACCAACTAACCCCTCCCCTCCATCCAACCCTTCCCAACCCCCTTCCCCCCCGACCTACCTTCACGCACAGCTCCCAACCCAACCCCCCTCCACCCTCCAACCCTTCCCAACCCCCCAACCACCCCCCCGCCTTCACCTCCCCCACCCCGACCTACCTTGACCGACAGCTCCCCGGCCGTTCCTTCCCACCCCTCTTCCCTCACTCCCACCCAACCTCCCACTCCCACCCCCTCTACTCCCCCTTCCAACCCTTCCCAACCCTCCCAACCCCAAACCCCCTCTTCCACCCTCCCGCGCTTCCCCCCCGACCTACCTTCACCGACAGCTCTCCGGCCAACGTGCCCCCGAACCACCGTTACCACCCCCCCCCCCTTAACCCATAAACCCCCACCAACCCAAACCCATTACCCCTTCCAAACAAACACACCAAAAACAACACCAAAACACAAAAAAAAAAAAAAGAAGAAGAATAAAAAAAACAAAAAGAAAAGAAGAAAAAGATGAAGAGAATAAATGAATAAGAAAAAGAGAAATAATAAACAACAAAAGAAAAATATGAGTACGAGACGAAGGAGAGAGCAAAGAGAAAACAGAAGAAAAAGAATAAGAGATGAACGTAATAACAGCAAAAACAAACACAACACTAAACAAAAAATAAGAGTAAGAAGTAAGAAAAAAAAGTCACAGAACCAACCGTCGACGTCCACGAAGGCAACCAAACCGCACCAGCACCGACCACAACAAAAAAAAACAGGTCCACACAAATCCAACCCCGAATCCCATCACCCCCACCCCAACCACACCCCCTTCCACCCCGACCCGCCCTACCTCACCAAAACAGCTCCCCATACCCACCCCACTCCAACCCCCCCTTCCTCCAACCCTCCCCAACCCACCCCAACCACCCTAATCCACCCCCCCCCCGACCTACCTTACACCGACAGCTCACCCGGCCGTGCCCCCCAGACCACGTATCTCCCGGACCCCCCTTTACCCTCCACCCCCACCTCACTCCACCCCCTCCCCCCACACCCCACCCAACCCCCCAACCTCCCCCCACAACCCCTCCACCAACCCAGCTCCTACCACCCACACCCCTTCCCACTCCACAGCACCACCACCCAACCGACTTACCTACCATACCCAACCCTCCCTCCCTTCGCACCTCACACCCACTCCAAACCTCCACAATCCACCTCACACCTCCCCCCAAAAAAACAAGACACGCCCACACTACCACACAAACAATTGACCGACAGCTCCCGCGTTGCCCACCTCCACCATCCCTAAACACCAAACCCATCACCAACCCCCACCCATTCCCCACCCATCCCACCCAACCCCCGAGCCAACAACCTACCCTTCAACCCGACAGCTCCCCGCGTTCACCCCTACCCAACCCCCCTTCCCAAACCCCGCTTCAAACACCACATCGCATCCAACACCCTACCCCCCACAAAAAATCCAAACAACGCCAAATATACCCTTCCCCAATTAACCGAGAACACTACAGTTATGACGACAGAACTCCAAACCACCGGGACGATGCCCCATCCCGTTCCGACCCCCTCCAACCCCCACCAAAACACTCCCCCCCACATCAATACCCAACCCTCCACCGCCTTCCCAACCCAACCCCCCTACCTTCCACAGCACAGCTCCACTCCCCATAAACCCAACCCCCCTCCCCCAACCCTCCCCCCTTCCACCCAACCCACCCCTTCCACCCCTCCAACCCCCCCACACCCAACCCCCCTCCCCTTCCACCCTCCCATCACCACACTCCCCAACAAGCCGACCTACCTGACGACAGCTCCCCGGCCGTGCCCCCGACCACGTTCCCGCACCTCGCCGAAGAATTCCGACAGGAGGGAGAACAGCATCTCGTTCATCCTGCGCCGCTGGTGGACCGAGGAATCCTTCATCTGCTGCAGCTCGCCTTGCATCGTGGTCAGCGCCGTCTGCAACCAAGAGGGGGGGGGGTGAGGCGGAGGTCGAAGGAGGAGGTGAATAGATAGAAGGAAAAGAGGAAAAGGAAGCGGAGGTCGAAGGAGGAGGTGAGTAGGCAGAATGAAAAATGGAAAAGGAAAAGGAAATGGAAAATAATGGAATATTATGGAAAGCAATGGGGGAAGGAAAAAAGAAAAAGGAAGAGGAAATGGGATATAATGGAAGACGATGGGGTGAGGCGGAGGAGGAGGTAAATAGGCAGAATGAAAAATGGAAAAGGAAAAGGAAATGGAAAATAATGGAATGTAATGGAAGGCAATGGGGGAAGGAAAAAAGGAAAAAGAAGAGGAAATGGAATATATTGGAAGATTATGGGGGGTAAGGAGGTGGAGTGAGGAGGAAAATAGGCAGAAGGAAAAGAGAAAAAGGAAGAGGAAAATGGAAGATAATGGAAGGCAATGGACATATTCTTAATGAATAAGCAAATGGAAGATACGGTAATGGATATATTCTTAATGGAGATGCAAGTAATGTTCCTGTTACTGTTGATAATAATGAGAGTAATAATGATGATAAAATAATGATAATGATAATGATAAAATATACTAATAACAATTATGGTAATGATAATGATGATAATAAGAATGATGATAATAGGAAGAATAATAATGATAGTAATACCAATAACAAAAATGTATCACAAACAAAATAATTCATCCTTTTCCCTCCCTTATCTCTTCCCCACCCCTTCCCCCCCCTCGACCTTAACCCCCCCTTCCCCTCCCCTTCGACCCCCCCCTTCCCCTCCCCCTCGACCCTTAACCCCCCCTTCCCTTCCCCCCTCCCTCCCACCCTCCCCATCCTCCCACACCCTCCCTCGACCCTCACCTGCTTCTCCGTCAGCTCTTCGCTCAGGGATTCGTTCTCCTTGCACTTGCTCTCGACTTCCTGGCTCTTCTGGTCGTAGTTGAGGGCGAGCTCCTCGAGGGCTTGCAGGACCTCCTTCACCTCGTCCTTGGCAGCGTCGTTCTCCGCCTGGATCCTCGCCATCTCTGCCTGGAGAACCTCGTAGTCCCGGCGGGTGGCGGCGATCAGCTGATGGCGGGAAGGGAGGCGGGGCTTAGCAGGGACCCTTGGTGTAAAAGCTCGGGTTTCTCTCTCTGTCTCTGTCTCTCTCTCTCTCTCCTCTCTTTCTGTCTCTGTCTCTGTCTGTCTCTCTCTCCTCTCTCTCTCTCTCTCTCTCTCTCTCTCTCTCTTTCTGTCTCTGTCTCTGTCTCTGTTCTGGTCTGTCTGTCTGTCTGTCTTCTCTCTCTCTCTCTTCTCTCTCCTCTCTCTCTCTCTCTCTCTCTCTTCTCTCTCTCTCTCTCTTCTCTTCTCTCTCTCTCTCCTCTCTCTCTCTCTCTCTCTCTCTCTCACTCAAATGCTTACACATACGTCTTACCTGCTATGACCATCATAGCAGTGATCCCCAAATATGATACAAGAGATCCTCTCTATAAAAGATCACATACCACACAACAATATATATATTATATATATATATATATATATATATATATATAATTATTTTCTTCTTTTCTTTCTTTTTCTTCTTCTTTCTTTTTTCCCTCCTCATCTCCTCCTTTTTTTCCTTCTTAATCTTCTCTTTTCTTTAAAATTTTGCCTTACTTTTTATAATTTATATTATTTTTTTCTTCTTTTTCTCTCTTTTTATTATCTTTTTTTTTCTTTTCGCTCCTTATTTTTTCTTCTTTTCTTTTCTTTCTTTTTATTCTCTCTCCCCCCCCCCCTCCTCACCTCCTCCTGCTCCAGCATCTGCTCCTTCAGCTTCTCCGCCAGCTGACTGTGCTGGTTGATCTCGTCGTCCTTCTCGTCGAGACTGACGTACAGCTGCTCCCTCTCCTTCTCCCACGCCTCTCGGACCTCGTTGCTCATGGGCGCGGGCGGGGCGGCGGCCTTCTTGGGCTCTGTGGGCGTGGGGGAGTAGGTGGGCGTGGGGGAGTGGGGTGTGGGCGTGGGGGGAGAGAGAGAGAGAGAAATTAATAAGGGGTTAGTTGGTTGAAAGGGGAGGTGGATTTTTTTTATTATTATTATTATTATATATTATATATTTTTTTTTGGGGGGGGGGTCGGGTGAGGGTGAGGGATGAGGGGGGTTGGGTGTGTTTTGGGTAGAGGGGGGATTGGGTAGGGATGGAGGGGGGATTAGTTGTCTTTGTGAAGGATTAGACAGATATTAGACAGAGACTGGGAAGAAAATAGGGAGAAATTTGATAGGGAAGAGATTAGCAGACAGAGATTGGGAAGAGAGTAGGGAGAGAGAGGACAGAGACTGGGGAGAGATTAGGTACTGTTGAGGGAGTGTTTAGAGACTATTAACTGGGAAAATGGTAAAGGATTGGAGGTGATTAGAAGTCAATGATCAAGAAATAAGGAAAGATCAAATACTGTTGGAGAGACGAGGGTTTTGTGGGTAAGTTATTTTTAATATTAGACGGGGAAGTCGAAGCCCGGGTCAAGGCAAGGGTTCCGGACAGTTTATTTTGGGCCATCTTTTTTTTTTTACGTTTTTGTTTATCAATTTTTTTCACTTTGTCTGTGTTTAATTTTATCGTCATTTCTAAGATTATCATTACTGGTTTTGATGTCATTATTGTTATATATTATTTTTGTTATTATTATCATTGATTGCCATTACTATCATCCTTTTTTATCCTTACTATCTACATCTGACTTCCACCCTTCACCCAATCCCTCTATCCTTCCAACCACCTCCTCTTCCTCCGCCACTTCTCTCTCTCTCTCTCTTTCTCTCTCTCTCCCTCTCTCTCTCTCTCTCTCTCGTCCTTCTCTAATCTCTCTCTCTCTGCTCTCTCTTCTCTCTCTCTCTCATTCTCTCTCTGCTCTCTCTCGTCTTCTCTTTCTCCCTCTCCCTCTCTCCTCTCTCTTGCTTTCTCTCTCTCC